CCTCAAAAGATGGAGGGAGGGGAGAGAGAGAGAGGAAGGAAAGGAGCTAGTGTGTACTATCCATACGGACCAACCACACAAGGAACGCAAATGTTATGCAGAGCAAACACGCACCAACAAAGGGTAAGAGAGAAAGAAGAGGAGACACGCTCTCCGGGGGCAGAAACTGGCATAAATAATACAGGTGTTGGGTTTGGGGTTATTATTTTTAAACCAAAAACACCTTCCTCTTTCATTTTGTTCTCCTTCATGAATTCAGAGTGCCACATTCCTGTAATCCCAGCATTCTGGGAGGCTGAGGCAGGCTGAGGCAGGAGGATGCCAAGTCCCCGCTTAGCCTTGGAAGTCTAGTGAACCCTGGTCTCAAAAACGAAAATATAAACAAAACCACAATTTTTAAGTAAGTAAATAAAATGGTCTGGCCCAGAATGCATGAAGTCCTTTTCATACCATACTTTGCTTTTGCTAGGCCGTATCACCATCCCACCCTGACTACACCGGGCAGTTCTAGACAGGAGCTGGGCCCAACGGGCCATGTCAGCCGAGGCTGAGGCTGCACCCCATGGAAGGAGCCAGGAAGCAGCCCTCCTCCTGGTGAGGCCGAGGACCCATCGCTGCCTCTCTGCCCTCCCCTGGCTGCCCAGAGCAGAGGAGACGGCTCTCAGAGCTCAGATCCCACCCCGCAATGCTGCCACCTTAAACGAATCCAGACCCCACTCCCTGTCTCGCGGCAGCACACATGATGCCCCAGCTCTGCCTCCGCCAGGAAAAGGGGCGCAGCCTTCTCCTCGAAGGCGCCCCCAGCTCCACCAGCACTTCAGGCACTCCCCTTCCCACACCTACCACCGGTCCTCGTGAATTTCTTAATGAGGTCCCTGGGGACCGCAGGAACAAGGAAGGTCTTGTGCCGGCAGGGTGTGGAGGAGGGGCCTGCGGACAGGAAAGTCTCTGCCCCCTCACTGCAAGCACCTTTTTACACTAGGACATTGTTTTCCTGTTGAAACACTGTTTCCATCAGAAGACTGCCTTCATTCTGAGTGCCTCTTTTATTTTTCTTTTAACTTGCTTCAAGTAACTGACTTGGCCAGTAGTGATGATGCGACAGATTTTTGTTTTCTCTTGGACACAGAAATTACATGAAACAGCAGGGCATGGTGGCTCACGTCTGCAATCCCACCACTGGGGAGGCTGAGGCAGGAGGATCCCTGAGAGTTCCAGTCCAGCCTGGGCTACAAAGTGAGCTCAAGGCCAGCCCAAACTGCACAGAGACTGTTTCGAAAAGACCAAAAAAAAAAAAAAAAAAAGAAAGAAGATAGATAAAATAAATGTTAACCAGGGGGTGTCTGCCACAGTGGTGTATTGTCTTGTAATCCCAGCATTCAGGAGGCTGAGGCAGGAGGATGATGGCTGGTTCAAGGCCAACCTGGACTATAGAGTGAGACCCTGTCTCAAAACAGCAAAAATAAATAGATAAATAAAAGTAAAGCCCTTTTACATGGCTAAGCTAAATGGTTCCCGCACATGCCTGTATGTGTGCATGTGTGCATGTGTGCACTCACGCACACACACACACACACACACACACACACACATACACACAGAGTGAAACTGGTTTTTCAAACAGACCAAATAACTGGGGCAGTGAAGGACCGATCATCCTCACCCACCAGTCTGCCTCATGGGCATCGGCACCTTGTCCAGAGGGCCAGTTCTCATCTGGGCTTCTTGCCCTGGTCCCTTGTGGGCTCCCTTCAGGCTAAGTACTACGTGCTGATTCCTACTCCGCTCATTCCCCATTCGGGAAATCCCAGGCTTGTATTAAACTTTTTTTTCTGGTGATAGAAACTGAACCCTGGGCCTTGACACACAAGGCCAGCACTGTATCATGGAGCTACATCCCAGGCTCCTTTGTATATATGTATGTATGTATGTAAGAAATAGCTCAGTTGCCCAGGCTGGCCTCAAACCTGTGATCTACCTGCCTCAACCTCCAGAATAGCCGGGACTTCCGGCATACACCATAGTTCTCAGTGTGCTACACACTTTTTAAAACATTAACACCACCTCTCCTTCCACCCCAAAACATACTTCTCCTTTAGCCAGTTAGCTCCTGGCAGAAACCCCGGAAAGCACCCATAGGCTGTCAGCAACACTTCGGGGCAAGGGTTGTTGGCCAGGTGCTCTACAAAGCCGGGGGTACCTTGGCCCAGGCCAGCAGCCGAGAACAGCAGGAATCCTGGAGGGTGAGACAAGACGGGTACTGCCTTTCCTTTCTGGCTTGGAGGGGGAGGGGGAAGCAAGAACTCTACAAGGAGAGGAGGTCTTTGTCCAGGCTCTTTGGATGAGCATTACAGTATAGTTAAATTGTCAGCTAATGAGATTTCCTAACCACTTGTTCCCTTTTAAGTTTAGACCCCCCCCCCCAGAGGATCTGAATAGCAGACAGCAGCAGGGGGCAGAGAGACTTCTGACCCAGGGCCAGAGAATTTCCCCAAGCAAGTACAGAAGAGATCAGAATCATTTCTGGGAGTAGAACTTTTATCACATTCATTAACCGCTGTTTAACAATCATGCTACCGGCCAGCAGACATCTGCAAGCCCTGGACCGACTGCAAGCCTTGCGCCTGGTTTTTGTTTATTTGTTACTTGTCTGGACTGAGGAACCCTCCAAGGTCTACATATGCAGGAGAGTAAGTGTTGTTGGACCCAGCTCAATAGTTTGTCCCAGCAGGCAAACGGGCATTAGAACAGGAAGCATTTCTGTAATAATAACTTGGGATTGTGTCTCTTTTTTATAGGTATCTCAAGATAGGTTGTTATTGCTGTGCTCTTCAGTTTTTCAATATGATACTGGCTTGTCTTTCTGCCTAATGGAAATTAGCAGTAGGGAGCTAGACTGCGGCAAAACCAAGTCAAAACACACTGACAGCACTTTGAACATATTCAATGAACACAACTCTCTCCGACCCTCCTGCTTCCTACAGAGCCTCCTCTTTACCTTTATTTCCCCTCTATTCTAAGATAATTACTTAGCAACTTCGATGTTTACACTCAAAGCTACCTCTCTTGCAAAGTCTATGTCCAGGCACAAAAGGGCCCATTCTGGAACTCCGAGTTTTATTGAACTTGTGCTGCTAAACTTCACTTGGCCTAGAAGGGTCACCTCCCGACCTACAGACAGCGCTTTCCTTCAAACCTCCCTCCCCTGGGAGGGGGGGGGCGGGGAATCACCTCGCAGAGCAGCCATTGGTTCACCAGCAACCGCTGCCCACCCAGACAGGTTCCTCTCTCCAAGCCCAGGTCTGGGCCTCAGAGTCTGGAGGAAGAAGGAAGAAGAAACAACTAAAACCCAATGGAAATTCAAACACATAAAAAGGAGCTGCAGGCGATTAGAGATAAGTATAATTACGTCTAAGGCCAAGTCAAACAAGCCCTGTTTGCAGCTAAAAACAGCAGTCCTCTGTGTCTTCCCAAGGAGAGCTGAAGAGTAGAGAATGCGGAAAAGAAGGGTAACTGGGGGCCATCCTAACAGAGGACCAACACAACTCCAGTGTTTTATATGAGACTGATCACCGTGCCATGCAATTAATTTATATTGTCCTGATCCCTTCTCCGCCCCTGCCAAGATACTCATTAGTCCCATTTTACAGGCACACAAACTGAGACTCCGGATGACAGGCTCGGCTAGGATTGCCCAGCTTGAGAACCACACCGACCAGGCTCAGGAACCGAGTTTGTTTGACCTCGGGCGCAGCCTCTCCGCGGGTGCTTGGGTCATCTGGCCCCGTAATTCGATCCGGACCGCTAGGGTTCCAGGGCGCCGCACTTCTGTTGCGCGGAGCCCGCGTGGGTACCACGCGAGCACGCACAGATTTGTAGCGTCCCAAGGGCTACCACGCGTCCTTCATAACCTGCCAACACGCAGTAAAAGATGGGCTGCAAGTCAGGCTGACCCGGAGAAAGGCCAGAGGCTGCTGCTGGAAAGGGATGAGCATGGCCAGGTCAGCACGCCGACGGCAGCCACCCACTGAGGGCCCGGGTGCGGAAACCTGAGTGCTCGGGGCGTGACGGGGGCTGGGCGCAAAGGCGCGGAGTTGGCTGCTTCTCCACGAAGCATCTGGCCCCAGGCCCGGGCCCGGGGCGTCACCTGCTGGCGCGCACCAACTTCTCCCCACTCGACAGAGGCAGCAGACCGCGGCCGGGGCCGGGGAGTGTGGCGCGCGGCTCTCGCCCAATGGCGAGGTCTGTAAACAAAAGCTGGCCCCACGCGAGTCCCCGACCGGGTGCGGATCAGCAGCAAAGCAGCAGAGCTGGCGAGGGAGAGAGGCGGAGACGGGATCCGACGCAAGGACCTCCGCGATCCCACCATTCATTGTCTGCACAGCCTTAGGATTTTGCTTCCAGTGCCCCTTCCTAGGCCCTCGGCGGGTCCACAGCCCTGGGTGCCCGCGCTCGGCTCTCCGACCAGGGTTCCCGGTCCGGAGCGCCACACGGATAACCAAGGTGCGCGTCCCGGCCGCGCTGCAGAAAAGCCAGGCCCATGAGTGCCCGAGACAGCACCGAGATGCACACACAGAGCCACGCACGGCGCGTGCACGCCCTCCCTGAAGTTGATTTAAAATCCACCAACAGATGCACAGCGATACCGCCGCCGGAGGTCAGCGCCGACCACCCGGTGACGCCCGGGCAGTGTCACCCGGCGCCGGGCACCTGGGCTCCGCGTCCTCGCTTCCTCCCGGGCGCTCCTCTTCGCTAGGGATCCTTCTCGTGCCTTTCTCTCTCAGATCTCCCCACTCCCAAGTGTGTGCACACGAAAACAATACGCGGAGAGCCCGACCAGGGGGAGCTAGGACCCGCCGGGAGCCCCAGTGTGCGGGAGACGGGGTCAGGACGTGCCCGGCACGGGCGCACGGCTCCGGGCATCCCCATCCCCGTCCTTCGTGACAGTTCTGCCCGGCCGGGCCGGGCCCGAGCCCTTCGTTGAGGGCCACAGTACTCACCTAGGACGCTCGTCGCGGACCCCCGCATCCGCGCCAGGCACAATGCGGGATCGCTGGGCCCCTGAGGCTGCGGGCTCCGAAGCTATCTCCGCGCTGCAGAGCTGCGCGCCCGACGGCGGCGGCGCAGATCTGCCCGGCCGCGCTCCAAGCCGCTCGCCCGCAGCCAATGGGAGCTGTCACGGCTCCGGTACTCGAAGCCTTGGGGGCGGAGCCGCGGGAGCCCGTGGGAAACCTAGCTCCGATTGGGCCGCCTGACAATCGCTCCGCCTCCAGCTAGCCAATCAAAGGCGGCGGAGACGGGAGCGGGGCGTTCGGAGTTGGGCTGGAGAGTCACAACAGCCGCACGCTGGGTACCCGCGCTGCTTCCCGGCCCACGTCCCGGGCTGGAAGGAGGCTGGCTCCGCGAGCGCTCCGCAGGACGCCCTCGGGACTCCGGCGGCGCAGTCTTGGGAGACCGCGAGTAGGCAGCCGAGGCGCCGGGGTCCGAGAAACGGCGAGGGAGCCCCTAACAAAGCAGCCGGGGACGAACCAAGCGGTCTCCGCCTCCGCCTGCTATAGGTCTTCTAAGCTGCCTGTCACCCATCGGAGGCGAAGGTGGCCAATGACGTATGCCACAGGAGTCAGAGTTGGCGCGCGCGCGCGGCTCGGCGTCGGTGGGATTGGTCAGAGGTGGAGGCTGCTCCGGCCGCCCGAGGCGGAGGGGCGGGGAGCCGGACCGGGCGGCGCGGAACCGGGACGCGGCGTACCTTCCACGCGCGGCCGGCTCGGACGGGCTACGGGAAGTTTTTTAGGAGAAAAAAAAAAATCCCAACGTGACCCTCCGCGTGGATGCCCAGGAAGACCACAGAGGGTGCGCCTAAGGCCACATCGGCCTTCCTGGAGTTGCCCTGGCCCGTGGGCCGCTGAGCTTGGCCTCTGCACCCCCACCCACGCCTGCCGCAGTCGCGTCCTCGTGGCCAAGCGAAGGACGCCGACGACAGGGCCTGCAGAGAGAGCGCGTCCCCACACCGAGCCGGAGCCGGCCCTTGCCTGAGAGCCCTGGATCTCCCGGGGACCATGGAGGCCGCGCTGGAGTACGCTCCACCGGGACGGGGTGAGGAGGGGGGATTATTTTGTTAAATAAATAAATAAATAAAAGGAGCCATCAAAGGAATTGCCCGGGCCCTGGTAGGTAAACGTAAAATACAAAAGTAAAAATCATCTTTTACACCTTCTCCTTCGACCCTCTCCTATCACCTCCCAAATCAATGGGTCCGTCCTGTCACTTGTGTTCCATCAAAGGCATCCCATGCTCTTTCTGCTCCCGGCCCGGCTTCCCAAAATCCTGTTGTTCACTTTGTAAAACGATTTTTTAAAAGAAGAAAAATCTCTTGCGTCTTCCCTTTCCCCACAACAAACTCGGCCCACTCAAGCCCCTCGTTGGACCAGCATGGCTGGCAGGGCACCGGGGCAGCCCCTCCTGTGCAGCACGTGAACCTAGATCCTGAGGAGCCTGCTGCCCCCACCACCCGGTCCTCCCTGTGTTACAAGGTGTTAAACTGCAAGTACACCATGTTCCCACCTTGAGCACTGCGTTCCTCCGAGCTAGAATTTTATCTTAACTGCTACATATGAGGACTTGGCGCATTTTGCTCAAAACACTTTAAAATATTTAATGGATTACAGAGGAGTTAGAATTACAAGTGAGCTTTAAAGAACTAAAGTGCTGCTGGGTGCTGTGGCCCACGCCTGTAGCCCCAGCTTCTGGTAAAGCTGAGGCAGGAGGATTACAAGTTCCTGACCAGCCTGGGTAACTTGGCAAGTCTCTGTCTAATAAATAGCTAAAGATGTAGCTCAGGGTACAGCACACTGGGTCCGATCCAAAGTACTACAGATATTTGAAGTGCCTCAAGTGTCAGTAAAAGAAGAATGTTTAGGATAAGAGCTGTCCATAGATATGTTCACTGGGTTCCATGATGGGTGACCCAGGGGCATTTCTAGTTCAAATCCAAAAGCTTTTTCCAAAGACACCTCTTCCAAAACCAGCTTTGAAGCCAGAATCCTGCACAAGCTTCTCAATGAAGATCATTCCTCATGAAGCTCTTCAATCAGGTGAAAGAGCAATTTGTTGGGAGCCACCATCTTGGGAAGGTTTGTGTGTGCACACAAATGGAATAAGCACTTCGGAGATGAGTGGATTTTTAATTTTGTTTTTCTATCCTGGAGGTTGAACCTGTGCTTTTGCAGTAAACTACATTCCTGGCCCTTTTTATTTTTTTATTTTAAGACAGGGCCTCGCTGAGTTGCCTAAATTACATTCAAATTTACAGTCCTGCCTCAGCCTTCCCGATGAGATTACAGGCATACACTAACACACCCAGTTGAAGAGTTTTGCAAAGGTGTTCAGAAGCACATTTGGCCGTGCTTAGCCACAGAATCTGGAGCTAGGGTGTCAGACCTTTAACCTTGTGACTTTCAAACGTAATTAAGGATAAATTGCTACAGACTTCCATGCCTCAGTTTCCCCATGTATATAATTGAGAGGATAATAATGCCTATTACACAAGGTTGGTATGAGGATAAATGAGTTAATATTAGCATATGCTTAGAAGAGTACTTAGCACATGGTGGCAATAAATAATGCTTGCTAGGCACATAAACATCTTGCACACAGACGTGTGCAGTAGAGACTGCAGAAATGGCTTTGGTGAAGTTTTCTAGGAGTGACGTGTCTCTCCACATCCTCAGATCCAACTAGACTGAGATGAAAATTATTCAGAAAGGTAGATTTTGTTTGCACTGGACTTGCATATACTTCTTGTCAGTGTCTCCTAAGCAGTACAAGTATTTAAACAGCATTTACACTGCATCATCATGAGTATTCTAGAGATCAAGTATAGGAGAATGTACCAAGGTTATAGACAAACACTACGTCATTTGATTAAAAAACAAAAATATTTAAAAGGGGCCCAGTGGCACATGCCTGTAATCTCAGCACTGAGGGAAACTGAGGCAGGAGGATCACAAGTTTAAGCCCAGTCTGGGCAATTTAGCAAGACCCTGTCTAAAAATAAAACATGGACTGAGGATGTAGTTAGTACATTAGATCCTGGGTTCAACCCCCGGTACTATAAAAGAAAATGTGAAAACCAGTTGATAGGCAATAAACAGCTCATTCCACTATGGAGACACCAAGATGGGCTCTCCTCAGGCTGTTAATCATTAGAATGCAAGCTTCACAACCTACCAGCTGCATAGCCTTGAGCAGTTTACTAACCTCTCTTCAGCTTTAGTTCTTGTTCTCTAAAATAGGGGTAATAACACCTAACCATTAGGATGCTAGGAGAATTAAAAAGAGGTCATGCACAGCTCATAGAAGGAACTCGTGTCAGCTATTAGCCCACATCCCTAATTGCAGTTGTATCATCTTTAAAAAGAAGATAATAACATTTCAATCAGTGGTGAGGAGCCTGACTATGGCAATGTCAGCCAGAAAGGGGCAAGGGGATGGAGAGAAGCCTCATGTTCTCGCTGGCCCTCCTTCAGTCTCTCCCCACACCCCATCTGCATCCATACGCCAGGACTCTGCTGTTTTGCTTTGTGGGCACTGGGGTGGACAGAGTTCAGCCAATCCAGCGTTAGCATCCATTTTATGACCTCAGCAGAACAGAGTAGCATCCATGCATCGGGGCTGTCTCTCACCTCCAACCTGAGCTGCGTGTTGCCGCTCCCCACTGTGGCGAAGTGCTCAGGCCATTTCCATTAAAAACACAGACAAGTGCCATCTGGCAGAGTATCCTGCAGTCTCGTCTCCCGAGGGCACTGTTGACATCTAAAGAGAATGTGAGCTGACACGAAAGGAATATACAGAGTGATCAAAGGCAGAATCCAGGGATTGGGCAGGAGAAGGGCAAAAGGACCTAAGCTTCAACAGGAAGCCAATGCTTTCCTCCAATGGCACCACTTGCCAGAGATCTCTGCAGACAGAGACATAGCTAAGTCATTGTAAATGGCCTTCCCCAGTGCAGGAATACCATGACAAGCCCACACCAGGCACCATGCCTCACCCGTGTTCCTCAGCTACTCTCTGTGCTAGCCATGGCTTCTCATTTAGTGCTGCATCCAAGGATCTGCTACAATGCCTGGCATGTATCAATGCTGAGTACAGGAAGAGTGGAGCCTCCTGCCCTCCCTGCAAGAAGCTAGGCACTTAGTTGCTTTCTTCTGTCATTTACTATCTTCGAAGAGGGGCAGGAGGCAGCTTTTGAAAAATCTCTCCGGCAGGGTGGTGTTTGTATACCTTTGTCTCTGCTGTGGTTTCCATATAGATGCTCCCCCTTTGAAACTCAATTTGGATCTCAGTGTAATGGCTTTGAGGGGTTGTACGTGGTGGTGCATGCCTGTAATTCCAGCACTTGAGAGGCTGAGACAGGAGGATAGCAATGAGTCTAAGGCCAATCTGGCCTACATAATGAGTTATATAGTGAGACTGTCTCCAAATTTTTTTTTTAAAAAGGCAATTAGGTCATTGAGCATTGCCTTCATAAACAGGTGCAGGTCTCAAGGAACTGAGTTAATTCAGTGGGAGATAACACGGAGCCCCTGGGTAGCTCTTAGTTACAATCTCAGTCCCTTCCCCACTTTTAAAATTTTATTTTAAAGGTATACTAGAGAATTTTTCTAATTTGTAATTCTCCTTTCAGACTCCAGAGTAGCTGATATTACAGGTGTATACCACTATATGTGGTTCCTATTTTTATTTTAAGATAGGATCTCATTAAGATGCCCAGATTGGTCTTGAAATTGGGATCCTCTGTGTCAGGCTCCCAAGTAGCTGGGACCACAGGTGTGAACTGCCACACTCAGCAAGGGACTGGGTTAGTTCTTCAGAGAGTGATTTAATGCTCTCCTGGGGACTGGCCTAGTTACCCCGGAAGCTGAGCAGCCAGCCCTCGGTCTTCTCTGCACATGCCCACTTGACCTTCTGCTTTTCCTCCACATTGTGACACAGCACAAGGCCCTCGCCAGGTGCAGTCACCCAACCTAAGACTTCCAGCCTCTGGGACCACAAGCTGAATAAATCTTTGACCTTCATACATCATCATCCAGTCTCAGCTGGCCAAGAGGTCTCCAGCTAAACATGAGCTCCTTAAGAGTACGCTTCCCTTTCTCAGAGCAT